GAAAACAAGAGTCAAAAATTACATATGGAGCTAATACGCTGCTATCAAGCATCAATAATGGAACTTGTAAGTCCCGGGCGAGTGCTCTGACCAATCTCTCTCTATAAAGCTCAGTACCTATAAACCAAAAATGCCTTCATAATCAGCAGAATCAAATGAAAACTAATATGGAAACACAATATCAGATATGTGGTAACAGAAAATTTTGGAAAGGGTAGTCAAAAGTTGACCCGGTATGCTCTGAAGCAGAATCCTCCCACTCGAAGAAGTCAAGCGGCCACCATAAGCTGCAGTAAATTTCTTGTGTTTCAAATGGGAGGCAGCACATTCCACCAGAAGGTTTTTAGCATGCTCACTGTGAGAATAATGGCTTTGAGTCCCAACAAGTGACCAAATCGCATAAAAATTATAATAACAAATCAGCAATAGCACTTACTTAATATGATAAGGAAAAGTAGACCAGGAGACCGTTAATTTCTCCCATGGGACAACCCTACGCAGAAACTCTTTTTTAAACCTTTCTCTTCTACTTAGAAAAGGGGATTCCTTCTTTTTATTCTCTATGGCATGCTTTTCATTTTCCAGCCACTCCTTTTGATCTCGCTCCCCTAGTCGAGTATGTGCATCATAATGCCTAATACTCTCCGTAATATTTTCCTTAGGAATCTTCCCCTTATCATAATCTGTCACATCTTTGGTAGGTGTATTTTTATCCTCATTCGCATTCCTTCCATCACCTTCAGAACTAAAAAGCCTTGGTCTAATATCTGTCCTCCCATGCAATCTTGTGAAGCACCTCTCACAGGATGATAAAAAAGAATTTGACAAATATCTTGCTATTAAACTACCCTGAGAACTATAATTCCAGGCTATTGGTGCATGGGTTGAACATAGTGCAGAGGAGCGATCTCGACAGTAAGAACTGATCAAAACTCTGCCACGCTGAACCACATTGCTCCACCTCTGATCTTTAAATTTTATTCTCCTTGCATACATTGGACTTGCTACCTAAAAGATAGACACCTGTAGTGAGAGCAAAGTTAACTCAATTAGCATATTGACTATTTCCTTAACTTTGAATGCAGAATTCCAAGTGCTTCTTTCTTTTCTCTCTGATAATCTAGTCTGCAGCTCAATTTTTTATTTCATCCAATTTCCTAGTGTAAAGAATTATGAAACAATATCCAAGCCAATTTTTTCAGATCAAAAAGTTCATATTACTAGTAAATTAATTACTAATTAAAGAAGGATCAAAACCAGGTATAAAACAAAATGCAGTGCATGACTCGATAATTTGAGAAAGAACAAACAAAATTGTCATTCATAACATTGCAATCGGTTTAAGCCCTTACAGCTAGCGAATATCAATCCAGACCTTCAACAAACACTTCACCATGAAAAAATGCTGTCAATTGAATATCAATGGAACAAAAGACAAATTAATCTCTATGATTAAATTTGCAAGTATACCTTCATTAATTAACTAATAAAAGAAAGAAGAAACAGCATTCAGAAACACAAACATAAAACCCCATCTATCCCAAAATGAAACAGAATCCAATTTCTATTACAAAAGTATTAATTCTTCAAAGACTAATAACAGCCAGCCAATTTCTCTTAATTATTAACAAAAGACGCTATTAATCTAATACATTCAGATAAAGATAACGTCTTGACAACAAAAAATTCCAGAAAACGCAGACCTTTTCTTCTTTATTTTCTTGTTCTTTTGGTTTCAAACTGAAAAGTCTGATTATTTTAGACGCACATATGAATTAATGAGTGGA